TAAAAGTGCTGCCTATAAAAGTGAGAAGGTGAATTAACAACTTATGACAATGCGTCAACGGTGGTCTGCAACGGATAGACTGACTTTGGTGTTGAAGAAGGTGGATGTCTGATATAGAGACAAATTCCTGAAAGACTAACCATGTGGTTTCATGACGTAACACACAGGTACTTATTTTGACGCTTGTTTTGGATTTGGACAATGTAGAGGGATATTATTTTTTCAAAGTTTGGGCGAGATTGGTGGGAAGTTCTGTTTCTGCTCCAGGATCGTCCAGGACTTAGTTGAAATTTGCTCCAGAAATTTGCCCAGATTGCTCCAGGTTCTCCCAGGAATCGGCCAGGTCCGATAGGGAAAGGACCATATGGGATAGGAATTTTGTAACTTATGAAGGACTAATGAGGTTAGCAAATCAATACTCAATATCTTTGTTACCAGATCTTATGAAGTTGTTTTTTAGAAATGAACCAGGCATTGAAAATCTTAATTGTCTCCAGGCCGATCAGCTTGGTATCCAGTGCAAAAAGTTACAGGAGTAACAGGACTATATTGCGGAGAATTAACACACAAATTGAGTCAATTAATCGTCTCCTGAGGATCGTCCTTCGACGGAGATTATTCGCGCGGCACAGGGCTACTGATGGGTGTTTTAGTCGTGAATCGGTCCAAGAATTAACTATAGCTGGAGAGAATCTGAGTTATAGATTCTCGTGAGGCATCGTCCTGGACGATCAGTGTGTGATGTAGAGCACCATAGTCAGGAGAGCAATGGAATGATGGTAGAATTTATTGGACCAATTATAAATTATTATCACCTCCAGTTTTAACGTACACACTGCGAAGAGGAAAAATCGTCCAAGACGATCCGTGTGGAAAATATGGTCTGATCGGTCCAGGTGAACTTGATATCGTTATAATCTTCTGGTCACCTCATTGCTATGAGGCAGAGAGAGTAAGCAAAGAAAGAATGATTGCTTAGTGCTGAAGAGACGACTACTGGAGTGTGAGATTAGTATAAAGACTTAAATCAGTTGATCATATATGATGAGGGAGGAGAAAGGTGAGCAAGAGAGATCAAAATAAATATCTTAGAGTGAATACAGCACCTTCCAGAAGAAGACCGGAAGCTGAATGTGCAGAATTGAGAGGATTCATAATTATTGGATAGACGTTTGCATTTATAATTGAAGACCTCAGTATGGAACCGTAAAAGAGGGAACGAGACCAGAAACAGAGCGCCATTTTCGTCCTGTCCGTGAACAAGTGAGTTGGTAAATTAGAAGGTAGTTAACCATAAATTGGCAAGGTTTTAATGATGATTATAATACGAGTAAAGAGTTGTACGCAAAGGTCATGGTAAGTCAAGGCGAGTTCCGGCCTTTTCTCAATCTTAGAACGGATGACTCTTGCAATTTGAGACGAAGCTTGTATTATGTCTTGAGAGTTGTGGTTAATTAGTATACTAGAGTTTCGTATCCGTATTTTCCGAACGGTGGTTCAGTTTGATGCTACCGCGTAAGTTGTCAACGGTTATTCCTAGTAGAAATGACCGTATTTGTGTGGTGCAGCCACTGATTTGGTTATCCTTCTGGAGATTTTTGGTAGCTCACTCCATCTGACGCACGTTGTGATATATATGAATTAACGAGTGTCCAGGATGCTCTTATGTCGCTCTGTGTTTGGTTTTTCTAGATAATGTGTGTTGATTAGATTATATTATAGTAATCAGATCAAGAAGATGGTATTGTGACTTACTATTATGAATTAATTTTGAAGTTTTCCTGAACACTTACATGTATGGTCATATAAGGAAAAGACTTAGGAATAGAATATAAAGAATGTTGCAAAATGTTGGGTTATTCTAGTGATTCTAAGTTAGTTGCGAATTTGTGAGAATAGAAGACTTCATTCTGAGTAGAGATTATTTGTACAATCAGTGTAAAAAATTGTGTAAATATAGACTTTCATGCACAGACCGTTGTGCTGCCCGATTTTTGTTAACATGATTTGTATAAACCAAAATAATCAGTCCTGAGAAATATAAATAATTTGAGATATCTGTATCTGAGAATTATTTTATAGCCTATCTGTACCTATGATTTATACTAGAAGGGATGTATCTTGAAAAGAAGTGACTTTCTTGGATCTTAAAGAATTCACAAGTTTTAAGAGTGTGCTAATGAAGAAATCTGAAAATATGAGCCTCAGATGCAGCATAAAATCCTGATTATCTGTCTGTCATCAATTATACAAAATCGAAATTCTTTGGAAGATATGAAATTCCATTTTATTAACTGTGATATCCCGAGGACCTGATGAGAATCAAGTGTGCTTCTCCTTTTGAGGGCTGCTATAAGCACATGAATGATATAGGACCCTCTGCGCTCCAACCTGTAGAGACAATATATATGTGACAGAACAAATAACCTGAGACAGGAATATTTATCTAGTCACGATAATATCTATCGAAATCCCTTAGAAGACAATCAAATCGGAAGAAAACTTAGGAATGAATTTTAATCATTAAAGTATAATTTATGGAATTTTGGGACCATTTATATCTCCACACCCCTGACTTTGAAAAGAATGGAAATCTAAATTGGTGTGGATAAGTAATTTAGATGCTGTCAGGAAAATTTAGCTAATTAATATAACCAATAATAGAAATAATCATAACCTAGCTCGAATTATTCTAATTATTTGATATATTGACCTAATACAATAGGATATCCACCACCTACTATGTTTGTCAAGTAAAATGAATTAATATTGTTGTGGTGTGAGAGCTGATTACTGTCTTACTAACTGTATCATGTATCTCTTGATCTTTTTGTGGCCCATTGATCTCGATGCACCTAAATTTGATATCTGTCTGATTCTGCTTCTGAACCCTTAATTTAGTACCGGAAATTTGTGGTCAAAGTTGAATGATGAGTGGTTTGATGAGTTGATCAGTGATTCTGTGTACGAACGTGTATAATTGATTTTGGAAGAGCGTTTAGGATAAATTGAATGCTTTGGTCTGAGTTTGCTTGGAGTGCTCAACCCCTTGTTTTGTATAATGCCGGTAGTGTGAGTTATTAAGCTACATAAGAGGAAAAGTAGGTTGGAAAGTGAAGTAAGTCTGTGAGTTCAGAGGAAATTTCTATGGAAAGATCCTATCATATCCCAGTTATAGAGTTAATATTTTGTAACTTTGTTGATATTTTGTGTGTGATAAAGTTCATGGTGAAATTTCTATCTAACTTTTGTAAGTCTACATGATCAATAGCCAACTTAGTACTTGTAATTTGTAGATGATTGTATTAGAGAAAAGAAAAAATATAGATGATTTTATTCCGCTGCATTATGTTTCATAGTAGCTCTGGTGTTTGTCTGTTTTGAGTTGAAATTATTTGAAGAATCAGTTCCGAAGCAAAATTCCAAAGCCAGATCCTGGCTGGTTCTGTTTTGTTAAGCTGGTCGCGGCCCGGTGCGGCGGGATCTGTCTCGGTCGGGTTCGTGACAAAGAGCTCTACTATTGTTATACGAAACTTTCTTGTTGGCCATATGTGGCTAGTCATGAGATGGGGATGATCGAAACTTAACTAGATTTGAAGGCCAGGGTGCGGTGACATGGTTTCCTTTATTGGCAGAAGAAAGCTGCAATTTATTGGCCAGGAACAAGGATATTTGATATCTTCATTATATAGCTTCTATAGCACCCACAACAACCAACAAAGGCCTAGATCAATATTGGTTAATGATTGGAGTCATTTTATCATATTTTTCATTTAGCCCATGTTTACTTTGTCATTTCACTAGATTTATGCACTGATGTACGTTCTTGGTGATTGCTGATCCATCCATTGTGACTTTTTGCGCAAACCTTTTATATCAGAACAAAGGCATCTTTTCCTTAAAATTTTGTTTTGTCTAAGTAGGCATCTTAAGATGAGAATTAGCCATTTGGTACTTTTTTAGTATGAGAACTCTTGATTATAGTGATTCTTTGGCTTCATATATATATATATTATAATATATATATATATATAATATTATTATATGGTTTGGATGTTTGTTTGATCATCTAATCTATGAGAGTAAAAACCTACAATGAATATTATTTGTTGGCAAGTTGTTATTGTCTAGCACGTAGATATAGTTCTTAGGTTTATTGCTGGAAATCATTACCATTTAGTTGCTGGAGTATTTGCCTTGCAAAAGAGAAACCTTTAGAAGAAGAATCCTATATTGAATGCCAAGCTAGTTAATGCAGAAATAATTCATGTGTGCTGGCTTCCAGGAGAAGCAGTTGAATAAAGCTGCATTTAGCTTTCTCATTTACTTTGGATCAGAGTTTTTTTTTTTAATCTAGAGAATGACCTTGCAAGAATCTCATGCATGTAGTTGACTATTCCACATGTATTTTCTTTTTTGTTCGACCTTGTTATAAGAGCATCTCGAACCGAAAATCTCATTTTTCACTCCAAAATGTAGTAAAATCAATGTAATTTATTCATATTAATAGTTTTGGTTATCAATTAAGATTTTGTTTGGGACATTTTTTTGTATTTTTTTATAAATCAATTTTTTAGCATAAAGATTTTTTGAAAAAAAAAATGTTTTAAAAATCAGTTTTATAAAGTAATATTTTATCTCAATCAAAGCCTAAAAGGCCTTCAATTCAAGTCTTATGAATGTAACATAAAATATTTAAAATTGAAAATGACGATGTGAGAGGTTATGATGAAAATACTAAAAAATGGCGCATTAGTTTCCATAATTTCTTTCAAATTATTTAAAAAAACATCTTTTACTTTACTCTGAATCTACCTAACCAAACAAGAAAAATAGTTCTCCTGCATTTATTTTGAAGACAACCAAACAGTTTTAAAGTATTACTTTACATTGCATTTATTTTTCAGGCAACCAAAGCCTAAATAAGATTTTTATCCACCCATCCAGCCCCAACTATAAATTGCGCTTTTCAAGAACTGTCCTTCACGTGACCATGCGACCGCTCTGCCTTTCTTGTTGCTAAGCGTCTCTGCTTCCTTTTGTCCCGTCTTGCCAACCCAACACTACTTCATCCTCCACGTTGTCACTATCGTTCTCTCCGCAGCAGCCAGTGAGAATACGATAGATGCTAATACCTCCCGACCAGTTTCTCTGAGAATGCCTCACCAAATGCTGCTTCTATATGCACTATTGCTGATCATGCTTCCACCACCTGAAGTACCGTTCACCGCCGCACTCCCGCCGTCGCCGATCTCCGACGCATTTGCGCTGCTATCCTTCAAATCTGCAGCCGACCCCGGAGGTAGCCGCCTAAGTTTTTTTTCCACCGGAAACCATTCAACATCTGAGCAATGCAGGTGGCCCGGCGTATCCTGCTTCGCCGATGGCAGAGTTGTCCGCCTCGTTCTTGAAAGTCTCGGCCTAAACGGCACCTTACCTAACTCCACCCTTGGCCGCCTCGACCAGCTCCGCGTGCTTAGCCTTAAGTCCAACTCACTCTCCGGCCCTATACCTGACCTATCTGCCCTTCTAAACCTCAAAGCCCTCTTTCTGGGCAACAACCTCCTCTCAGGCCCTTTTCCTTCCTCTCTAGTAACGCTCCACCGGCTCCGCACCCTCGACCTCTCCCACAACTTCCTTTCTGGCCCCATTCCCTCCGGTCTCACCTTCCTTGACCGTCTCTACTTTCTCCGCCTCGACTCCAACCTTCTCTCCGGCCCTGTCCCATCCCTCAACCAGTCCTCCCTCAAAATCTTCAATGTTTCTGCAAACGACCTCGCTGGCCCAGTGCCTGTAACCGCCGCACTTTCTGCCTTTGGAGCCGCTGCCTTCTCCGGAAATGTCCGCCTCTGTGGTGCCGTCGTCCGACGCGAGTGTGGCTCCCATTTACCCTTTTTCCAATTCAGCGCTGCAGCTCCATCACCTGCTAAACCACGGCAAGGCTTCCTACTTCCTGGCTCTGCTTCTGCCACCTCCCCTCATCGGAGAACCCACAGGAAGGGCGTGATGGCAGCCGGGTTCTTTGTCTGTGCTGCCATTTTGTTAATACTTCTACTTGGTGTTTCTTTAGCGGTTCGGAAGAAGAAGAGAAGAGGCATGGGAAAGAATGTCATCAGTGATGTGGGTGTAGGGGATGGTGAGATGGAGGTGCATGTGGAGAGCACTGCAGAAGAGGTTGAAGATAGATGCAATGAGCTCGTGGCGGCAGCGGCAATGACGGAGGAGAAGATGAAGAGATTGGGGAAGAGTGGGTGCTTGGTGTTCTGTGCAGGGGAGGCTCAGGTATACACTATGGAGCAGTTGATGCGTGCATCTGCAGAAATGCTGGGAAGAGGAAGTGTGGGTTCGACGTACAAGGCAGTGTTGGATAATAGGTTGATTTTGTGTGTGAAGAGGTTGGATGCAGCAAAGATTGGTATGGCTGGAAAAGAGGGATTTGAGCGGCATATGGAGGCAGTGGGGAGGCTTCGGCATCCCAATCTGGTGCCTCTTCGTGCCTTCTTCCATGCAAAGGAGGAGAGGTTGCTTGTTTATGATTACCAGCCGAACGGAAGTCTCCATTCTCTCATTCATGGTATGATTCGTTGACTAATTCTTCTTTTTATGCCTCTTTTTCTATTCTTACATTTACTCAATGATGCCTTTTGTTCTCGTGTTGATGATCGTATGTTTTGCCTATTTATTACTTTTTGTCTCAGAAGTTCACTGCATAATAATGGACGGCATGATTATTTTTCTAATTGCCTTTGATTCACTTAGCAATTTTTAACCTACATTGTCCTTTAGCAAATCCTATCTGGTTGAAAGTTTTGGTATTTGAGTTATTTTGAATCACATTTCATAGGTAGAGATATTTGGATTACATTGAGGGGCTTTTTGGTATTGCATTGGATTTAATTTAATTTAGGGGGATTTAGTAAATCCTGAGGTTGTTAAATCCTGAAAACTGTTTGGTATGATAAATGTTAAATCCTAAGAAATTGTTTGGAAATAGATCTCAAATCCGTAAATCCAACTCTTGATGGGATTTAGATTTATGCGGATTTGCGTTGTAAATTCGTAAATCCCGGATTTACGCAAACTTGGGATTTAGATGATCTCCGAAAATCGTTTGCTGGATTTTCAGTAAATCCTGCTTAAATCCAGGCGCAAATCAGATACCAAATAGCCCCTAGGGTTCCTTTTTATTGATGATGCTTTGTGTGAGGCATTTTAGGATGCTAGTACAAATTTTAGCTTACTTTAAATTAACAAGCATTTTCCATGAGTAGCTGTATTAATGATTCTAACCTAAGTAAAAAAGAAATTCATATTTGCTGATATTTTGAAAAGAAGAAAAATTTCGTGAATTATCTTAATTGGTTTGAATGTCCATTTACTATTGTAAAGGCAATTACTCTTGTGATCATAATAACTTTAATAATTAAAAAACATAATGTCGCCAACTTCTTAAACCTAATTTTTTTATACACTCATTTGACCTGAAAATTAATGTGTTGCAATTTAAATCTTTTGGCTATATTATTGCTTGAAAATTAGCCATTGTAGAATCAAACTTAACAAATCAATTAAATTTATGCGTGCCTAAAACAAACTTAATGCAGAAGTGCTTGCCAAAAGATTTGGCAAGTCATCGCATGATAAACATTCAAATGGCGTTTGACAATAGCACATAAACATTCAAATGGCTGATTATATTTTAAATAGAAGGATTTAGTTATACTTTCACTTGAAACAATTATTAAATATGCCAAAAACTACATTTAATTTGTTGAACAAATGCCAAATTTGATTTGGTTCAAGTCATTGCATGATGCCTAACTATTAATAGGATGTAATGGTATGGTTGGTGTGGTCCTCGTAATATGGTCATTTAATGCTTTGTCTTCATGATAATAAGATCATACCACACAGTTAATGGTGCAAAGAAATTTGCTCGTAGTATAGCTAGAATGATGTCAACAAGCCTTTAGAGCAGTTGGGGAGGCCACCATCCTTTTGTTTATAAAATTGTGTGACTCATGCATTGTTAGATCAAGGCGGCCACTGTCCTTGGCTAGGGAGGCCACAATCCTTTCATCTACTCATATATTGAAATATTTATTAATTTTAACATTGTAATGTGTAAAATTTATATTATGTCTACACAATCCATCATCTTTCAATACAGTAGTAAAGTTTAACTTTCATACTCTTTCATCTAATAACAATTCATTATCTTTCAATACAAAAGTAAAGCATTAGCAATCCAACTCTTTCATCCAAGAAATGTTCATATTTATATCAATCTAACAATATGCACTCTTATTACTTGCTAAAAGCATACTCTTTTATCACCTACCAAAAATATATACTTCAAAAGTGACTAAATTCAATGTTACAACAGTGCTAGGCACTCTCAAAATATTTGGTTGTGTAGTGGTTAGGCTTTATGTGCCACACTAGCCATTTTCCCGAATAAAATGAGGCATTAAAAAAGTAACGACTACATTACGTATAAACTATTCTTAGTATAATGAATATTTTTTAAGAGTATAAAGTGGTAATCATCATATTAAAGTAAGCAAGATATATTTTGAATTTGGTAGTTCTAATATATTTCAATTTCAACATTTAAATAAATTATTTCCAGAAGAATAGTTAAATATATGTTTGTAGCATGCATAAACTAAGGATAATATGATATTCAATATTATCTTTACCATTTTTGTCATTATATTGTTCTTTTTTCTATTACTGGATTTCTTACCCTCAATCTCTTCCTTTATCTCCTAACACTCATTTTCTTTATTCTCAAGATTTATTACTCTAGATCTTGATGTTTTGTCAATCTTATTTTGAAGTACACATCCTTTTTCCTCACGCTTGCATCACCTCATGTTAAATTATCATCATAAAAATATAACTTATTTTCATGTTTGGGGCTATCACTTATCTCTCTAATTAAGGTAAGGTGCTCACCTCACATCCAAATGCCTTGAGAAAGAAGCTCCCCTAGGCATGTCTTAGTAATGATGCCCTCTTGAAATGTGTGCGAGGTAGTTCAGGTAGCCTTACCTAGCACATGCAGTTAGGTGATTGACTGACTCTCCTTAACATACCAACTAAATCATGATGGCAATGAAGTTCCAAAGGTCTAGATAATTCATTCCACGCTAGAATATAAATCTAAATAATTATTTTTCAATTATTTTCCTAAGATTTGGATCTTTTTATGATTTTAATTTCTCAATCCCTTTAAATTCAATAAAATTATGATTAAGTGAACGTTGATCATTTTCATAACGTCTCAATATATATGACCTTATGGATCTATAATTATGCCAAAGTTATAACTTTTAAGATGCAAGAAGCAAAAAACGGTGACTTAATAACTTGAATCTTGCCCAAAATTTTATTAAACTAAAAATTTTTTATTAAGGTTTTTGTTAAAAAAAAAAATGATATTATACTATTAGTTATCACATTGTGAACTTATAATAATTATCTGAATAATTACCATAAAACCTCTTGGGAACTAGTTTTTTGGGAGACCCTTGATAATTAACTTATAATTGATAAAACCTCAATAATAGGAAATCATAGGGCAACTTTTTTTGTTTTATTCTCACACTTGATGGATTACAAGAACAAATATGATTAGATCCAAAAAATAATTATATGAACAGATTAAACATGCCAAAAAATAACATTTGTACATAAAACACTTTACAATACATTTTATAAATTTTGAAGAATAATGCCTTGGCTCTTTCTAAGGCTTTTTCCTACCTTTATTCATCATTTCTCCTATTAATAGTTCAACTCATTGATTCTATTAAATGTTTTCATTATTAGTGTATAAATTTCTATGATGATTACTAAGTTTGATTAATAATGGATGATGTTCTTATGGACAACTTGTTTTTGTTCAAAAAATTCTTTAAAAACTCTTATAACATCATGAATTTGTTTAGAAGTTTTTTGTAGGAAATGTGCAAATGTCTTGTAAGTTTCAACGCACTCAAAAAAAAAAGAAAAAAGAAAAAAGTGCCAACAAGAATAAGAATAGAAGGAAGTAGACATGTTGAAGGAAATCATTTATAAAAAAAAAAGAAAGCCCTTTGCTAACAAGAATTATAGTAGAGGAAATAACATGTTAGAAAAATAGTAAATAAATAACATGAATTAGTTTATTTTAAAATAAAAAAAATAGAGTTTGCAAGAATATTATAAGAGAAAGCTGGAAGAAATAATCTATAAATGAATAACTCTAAATTAGTAGACTTTAAAAGTTAAAAAGAAAGAAAATAATAAAATAACCATTGGCCTTATCAATGGCATGCGTTGATGTTGGTGTTTATGATTTGCATTGTCCTTGATGGAGGTAGTGGGCATTGACATTATTGTCGATGAAGGGCGATAAGCTTTGCATTGATGTCCACTACCAACCCTACTTTCAATGACGTGCTTCAACTATTATTAACAATAGCGTGTAACAATGCATGCATCGACCTATTGGTGATGGTGGATGTCAATGCTGTTTTCGATAACATGCATTGGCCTTATCAATGATATTATGTATCGATGATGGTGTTGATGACATGCGTTATCTTTTTGGGTGATTACATGCGTCGACGTTGTTGTTGGCTGTGTGCATCATCTTTGTTAGTGTTGGCATGCGTTGACGATGGTCAATGATGGTCATACAATGATGATCCTATTGCAGGCAAAGCTTCATGATTCTTTAATTCTATGTGCTTTCTCAAACTCTGGATCCCTGTCATGTGAAGAACATGAACTTGGTTATAGATTTTTGTAGTGATATTTTTATTTATTTTTGCTGAAGTTATCAAACACTTAATTAGATAGTCCATGTTGATTCTTTGATTATAGATCATTTTAAGTTCATATGCAAGCAAAGCTTCACGAAGTTTGGATGATCTCGATACTGATTTTGGACAATTTTTATTCATATACTGTATCAAGATTTGTGCTTAATTGGATGAATTTTCTACTGACATATCTATATTTTCGTGTGTGATTCTGTCCAGATTTGATTTCCATTGTTTGATGCACATAAGCTTTTAGCTTAATGAAGAGTGACAACTACCAAGGCTTAAAATGTGTTTATAATTTTAGCACTTTGATTAAATAGTGACGGTTTTAAGTTGGCTTAAGTGTGAGTGCCAGACAATTTAATGGGCATACCTCCTCCCTTATACATAAACTTCAATGCTGAATAGTGTACTAAGTTGTCATAGATAATTTGACATTAAAGTTAGTTTACCACTTCTTAGTTAGAGCAACTCTAATTGGGAGCCTCTCCAAAGAAAACCTTAAGAAATGTCCTTTCTATTAAGATAACAGCTTAGTTAAAAAAAGATACCTTTTTCAGTTATGAGAAGATTAATACAGAAGGTGAAAACTTTATGGAATTAATTAGTTTATTATTTTGTGGCTTATTTTTTTGCATTTAGTTCTAGTTTTGGTGGACTTGTAAATTCAAAAGGCCACTTATGCATGTTTGTGCTTGTCGTAATATTCTGAAAATGAAAAAAATGATTGTAAAATATTGTATTCACTTAGTGATAA